TAGAAGTTGGGGCGTGGGGCAGGTGTGGTGTCAAATTGAAACTTACAGAATACTGAGAGGCCTGGATATAGTGGATGTGGAGAAAATGTTTCTACAAGGAGAGACCAGGACCTGAGGTTACAGCCTTATAGTAAAGGGATGACCCTTTAGATGAGGAGTTTCTTCAGCCAGAGGGTGGTGAATCTGTGACACTCATTGCCACAGAGGTCTGTGGAGGCTAAATCATTGAGTGTATTCTTGATTAGTAAGGGGATCAATGGTTATGGGGAGAAGGCAGGAGAATGGGGTTGAGAACTATATCAGCCATCATCAAATGGCGGAGCAGTTCCGATGGGCTGAATGGCCTAATGCTGCTCCTGTATCTTATGATCTTGTAATTGAGTTTAGTTAAGAGCCTGTCACAGTGTATGATTTTCAGTGATTTTAATATTTCCATTTATGGAGCTTTATAAAAAAGAAAAAGCTGTTTGTTTCATTTCGAATGTTATGACTTGCATCTTTTGAAAGTTTGGAAAAGACAGTACCCAGTGTGGTTTTCCATTAGATGCTGCAACGTTTTTAATTTGTCTTTACAGATTTCTGTATTTTCCAGTTACTGGAACTTCAAGCCCTACTGATCCTGAGCAACAGGTTAAATGAAGATCAATCTGCACTTGGTGACCACCTCCCGCCCCAGCTCCTAGGCAGTCTACTGTATATACTGTCTCTGAATATTTTGGGCAGTATACTTAATTTCTAAAGTCTAAGTTACACACTACACTTCTCCCTCCAATCCTTGATGTTTGTCTCACTTTATTAAATTAACTCCTTTTCTGGAGCTTGACCTGCGATATTGGAAATGAATTATAAAACAAATGCAGTCTTGAGCTTTTAACCCTGCAGTCAGCTTTATGGTAGAAGTTAATGTTAAAGTATTAGTGTTAATGAAGATGTGGTTCAGAGCTGCTGAAAGGCAGATGGTCACAAATATATTGAATTAGGAGCAGTGGTTTCTCCAGAATCTCTCTGGTTTTGCGTTGTGCACTTTTGATTGTTTCCAAGTTGCAGGCTATGTGGAGTAAAAGAGGGAATATTATCTCTCCGTGGAGCTTAATGTTCAAGCACTGAAGCTCTGTAATTCTGTAACTAGGGAAATCAAAGAACAAAAGCTATACATTATACCTCTTGGTGGACCAGCCCAACATTCTTAAATTCACTTTATTTTTGAGATCCCCCTGCCTTCGAGAGATTTCCTTTTTCAGAAAAAAATGAAAGATCGAAGTGTAGTCATATTTAAGTTTAGACAGATCATACTTTTCAGTTTGTACATTAAATTACTATGGCATTAATTAGTTTTGAATTTGTGCTGGTCATAAATTAGTTGATCCATTGTTTGTGATTGCTTTATCAGGAAATCTTGTATCTAGGTTATTTTTGCATCAGAATTTGTAAACCTCTGATTATGTATTTGTCTTTTAATGACTCAGCAACTTAGAATGAACAAAAATGAAAAAGACACTGAGTACAACTTAATTTGTGCAAATATTCAACTTCTAAGATGTGCTAGAAGCGTTGTAGTTTGTTAACTAAATGTGCATTTCCAACAATCTAAGTGAGAGCCCCATATGCGCCTGGAGTATCTGACAAGCGCTTTCTATTCGTGTGAAATCTTATGGATGCAAACAAAGCAATTGACACTGCAGTAATTGGAATTAAAACTGCATAGTTGAACTGCACAGCATTAATAAAGGATAGAGGCAATAGGTTCAGCATGTCTTCACTGCACAGCAAATCTTTGTACATTGTTGAAAATATAATCAGTTCCATTCATCCAAAAGGACATGGTTTTAAGATGTAGGAAGAGTTTCAATCAGATTTTTAACAGACTCCCTTGTGCAGAATATAAAGTGTATTTGTGTATCCCCTCTGGAAGAATCATGGCTAGTCTGTGTGTGTTAATGCTATTGGTGTACTGTTAATATTAACCAGTGTTTATGTTTCGGCTGCATGTTTCTATTGTATTTGGACAATAATTCTTTGATCATGTTGACAAGATAGACAACTGGTATTTCAGCTTGTGAATGTGAAATGAATTTTAAAACGACCATTCATAATGGAACTACATTGGGAACTCTCAATATTGAATTTCAGTACAATGTGTTATCTTCACAGTCACTGGTTTGTCCAAAACTTGATTTTTTAAAAAAAAACGTAACCCCACGTGCCTCTAATCCATGCATCCTTTGCCTCCAGTACAAAGAATTGCCACCTTTTTCCTCTCTCTTAGGTTGAGAGCTGAGGATATCCAAAACTAAGCCTGTTTGATGTAAATGAAGTTTGACATAGTGCGGAATAATACTCGTTTCACTTATTTTGTGAATATTGAAATTAATATCTAAGGGACACAATTTGAAAGCTGTCTGCTGAACAATACTGTGATTATATATTCAACACTGATCAAATTGAGCATTGTTCAAACAGTCATATATTTCCACCAAATAAGGTGATCCTTCTCAAACTACTGTACTTTTCATGTCTGGTAAATGTTCCAGCCAACACTTTGTAGAACTATTACATGCTGTTGCCTTTTAAGAATTTAACAAGATCTTTACAATTAAAAAGCAACATCAGAGAGCCCTGCATTCCCCTCTCTGTTGGCTTTAGCCAATGTGCTTGTGTAAGATGATGTGAAATGCTTGTGGCAGCCAGTTCCTTGATTTGCACAGCATTTATCCCACGAGTCTCCGTGTAACTCTTTCACATGACTTCCAACAGGTTGCAGCCAGAATGTACTTCCACCTTCTTGAAACCTGTTGCCTCAGTCTGTGAAATTATCTGCAACTTCAGTCTTTTTTATTACTGGAGTAGAAAGTAGTCCTTCACTTTGCTGCAAGGTTTAAGAGTAGTACACACCCCAGCTGGAGTGCATTAAGTCTTGGGGCAATGTGCAGAACCCCCGATGTGGAATCTTTTGGAAAATTGTTTTTATGGATACAGGGGTAACTGGGAAGGCTAGCAATTATTGTCCATCCCTGACTTCACTTGAGAAGGTGGTGATGAACCTTTTAATTGCAGTCCATCTAATATCTGTTGCAGTTCTTGTATGTCTAACTTGTGGCTATTGAAAAAGCCAGTTGAGAGTGACCTTTGTGGGAGTCACAGGTAGCCCAGACTTCCTTCCCTAAACCAGTTTTTACTGGCAATTGATAATAGTTTTGTGCTCCAGTACTGAGACTAATATTTGATTCTCGATTTCATAATTAATTGGAGTCAAATTCAATTCCCAGCTGCCATGATGGGGTTTGTATTAGACAGAGCACTGTCTGTGCCTCTTGGATTACTAGTGCAGGAACACTGCTGCAGCAGCATCACCATCTCTTCACATTACTTGTAACCCTGTTTTATTGTAACATGAACCAACGTTACGAGTTGTACTTTTCACCCAAGCATCAGGCAGAGTGGATTGGTGAGCGTGTGACATGGGTCAGTTAACTCACCCAAAACTCAAATATGGGTAAAGTAAGGCAGAATAGATGAGGATGTGCCATATGAGTGCTTATCTTTTTAAAAAGCTGTGATGTCTTCCAGTATCATGTAACTTGAATCCAGTATGTTAAATGTATATTCTGTTCAATTCCTGCGATCAATCTCAAGCAGAATATGCTTATGTTTCTGTGTTTGCTCTTGATGTAATGATGTGACTGAGACCAATTCTATTTAATGACTGTTTAAATTATTCAGTATGTTTTGTGGACCAAGCAAATTGTTCAGATTATATCTGCAATAAAGTATTGATCTCAAAGAATTGTATAGTTGTTCAGTATCAGTATTGAGTTGATGTCCATTTTTGTACACTTTGCAATTACTTCTTCAAAATATGATTGTTAATGAAAAAGCATTCCTATTTCATTCTTATGATGGAATGGTTAAGTATTGCCAATGTCGATTAAGATTGTGCCATATGGACTACAAAGTTTTAAAATAAAATGGGAATTGTATGAACTTTCACAAGATTGTGGCAATTGAAAAAGTGCCATTGATACAGTTGGTGTGAGAATACCTGGTTGTGGTATGTTTGAGGCCAGGATTAGTGCTTATAGATATGATTTCAAAATAAGGTTTCATATACAATAATCCAACCTGTTTTTTCCAGATCAGGATAGCAAGAAACCACTAACACCTTAAGTCAACAGCAAGAAATAGCAGAGAAGCTTCCTATCAACCAGCACCTTGGCTGATCATCCAGGCAGCGCTCGGGAGGAGAGATTGTGGAATGCACTTTTGGGTCAGAAGTCCTATAACATCAAGTTATAGTACAACAGGTTTGTTCGAAATCACAATGATTTCAAATAAACCTATTGGCTCTAACCTGGTGTTGTGTGACTTGTGACCTTGTCCAAAACCAGCACTTCCACTTTTGATTAGAGACTTTTATCCTGAAAAAGAATTGACTTCAAGAACATCTCAAATGCACACTTTAAGTATATATTTTTTAAAGTTTGAAATATACTCCAGTAGACTTCATACACTCAATGGTCAGGAAATTCTCTGGATTCCTGGCTTTTGAAGCATTGATTTATTTCAGAATTCAGTTTTGGTATAAGCCCACATTGAATCAGTGGGCCTGACTGCAATGAATGGTTAGACTTCAATCCTAAATATATGCTCCCTTTATTTATTTTGTGATCACATTTTCTCCATTGCACTGTCATGAAATTAATCATTAACTTAATTATCCTCCTTTATCTGCAAATTGAGATTTCCTTTTAGCCATCTGTGTTAATGTGTGTTTAAAATCTTTCAGATAAAATGTGAAAATTATGTTCTAATGAGAGATATTTTCTTATCAATCTGTTCCGAGATGTTATAACAGATGTTTGGAGACTACCAGTGTGCCAAATGATTTTTTTTAATTTCCTCAGTGTTCCTCTAGTTTGGATAAAACACTGATTTATTGTGATAGTTATGCTGCTGATGTGAACACAACTGAGTTTGAACAGACTGCACTCTTAAAACAGCAGTATGTGATACATCAGTTTATTTTAGAATGAAAAGTAATTAACAGAACTAATATTCATAGTTAAATATATTACAGCTGGTAAGCTTGAACATCAAGATGCTGCACACACATGCTTTCCAACGACCACCCCAGAAAAAACTATCAAATCTTAGTTGTATAACAATTTCTGCCTTATTTTAGAAAGATTAATCTTCCAGATTGTCTTGCCAGACATGATTGGTCAAGCCCTGGAGAGGTTTAGAAGTAAGTTGTCTATTTGGTGCGTAGGCTCAGAGTTTTGTTCTCAATTAACTTCACCCCACCATCACAAAACAAATAACTCTTGCCTGAGTTTGTGAGCGGAAAGGGAAAATGTCAAGGCTCAAAGTGACAGGTTTATTTTGTTACTAAAAGTGATAGCTGCGATGAAAAATCAAGCAGTGCATTTTGCAGCGTTGGTGCTTGATAAGCTGAAAGCAGCCTGCTAGAAGCAATTATACACTGTAGCTTGGTTTATGCCTGCTCAATGCATTGGGAGGTTTTCATTGGAATAACTAAACTTGCACAAAATAGTGATAATATCAACTAATAATCTAAGGCACAAACAACCCATTAGATCCATTGCTTCCACACAAAATAAAAGACTTGAGTGCTCACCTTTGTGGTACAGCAGCAATTTGTGACCTACGCTATGATTCTCTATTTCCCAGTACCAGTGAATCGTACGTAAGCTGCATGTTTATGATCCAACTTTAATTTCTCCGGACTTTAACACCATACAATGCCTAGCTCCATAGCGTTTAGCCTTTTTGTTTTTTGGTTGCTATAAGCTAGCAGTAATTTTGAGGATAATTGCATTTGACAGCTGTGGGACAGGTCAAAACATAATCACCTGTTTCATGTCAATGATTTTAAATTGCAAAGTTTCATTCAACTCAGCTAAATGGATTTTTTTGTAGATAAAAAGAAATTCATGAAATGGATAAAAGTGCATGATTTTGTATTTTGTTTTGTGATTAAACCTGCAATGGATAGTTGCCAATAAGTATGAAGTTACAAATGAAAAGTGCAGTTAAGCCAATATTATGCAGGCCAGCTAAAGACGTTAGATTTCATATTTGTGTTAGATTCAGAAGGAGTGCCTATTGAAATAACTTTAATGGTGGAGTCTTTTTACGGGCTTAACAACAAACTCCCTTATGCACAATGTTGCTAATTGTTCTGGTTTCTGGTCGAATATCCCATCCAGATTCTAAGGGTCCAATGCCAAGTTGTCAACACCCACCTTCTGTTTTCCATGCTGAAAGAGAAAATGACTGTCAACTGATCAATATTTACCATTTGCAATGTTTTTATTCTGCTGTGATATTCAAATATCTGTTTCTTTCAGTTAAGTGATTTTTCCCTGGAGGTTCAAACCGCCCTTTATTTATACCAGTTTGTTTTCTGGCACGGAAATAATGCTGACACTAACACATCATGTCACGGCACTGTACCACACTAACAATAGATATATGAATAATTTGAAGAGACAATTCTGCAGAAAGCAACAGATGGCACAGTGAGATCAGCTTCTGGCACAAGATGCTTTCTAAAAAAGAAACTGGCAAATAGAACAAGGCATCTATGCAAAAAACCTAATTATGCAGAAGGACTAATGCTTTGAATTTCAGTTTGTTGTCCAACTCTTTCAGTCAGGCAATTGCTCATTAGCTGAATAACATAGTAACCCATTGATAGATATTACTACTCAGTCTTTTTATTTGGGTGATGACTGGTGTTAAAAACAAAAAAAAAAGTCATTTGGTTGTGTGTGATAAAACTACACCTTTCTTAAAAAAAAGCAGATGGGTCATGACTCCTCTAGAGCAGGAGAGACTTGAACCTAGGCCGCCTCGCCCAGCAGTAGGGACGCTACCACTATACTGCAAGAGAACGTAGGCTTTTGATCGTCTTATTGCAAAAGGAGGCCTGGAATTTTTCCATCCATGAGGCATCACTGGGTTCCAGGGGGGAGAGGCCTTGAATACATTCATCTTCCCCTCAATTATTGGAGGTGTGTGGATTGACAAAAGATTGCTGGGGGAAGTGTCAATTAGAAATTCATAACTAGTTGAGTTTTTAAAAATAAAAGAACACTCACCTTCTTTCTTGGTGATGAAGAAAAGCAGAAACCCCAGCAACAGCGAATCAGGACCAAGAGAATCAGAGTCAGCACTGCACCTAATTAAAGGAAATGAAGAAATTCATGACAATGCAGATTACATATTTGAGTCAAGCTTTTTGGTGCAGTGGTAATGATCCTATCTCTGAACGGGCCCAGGTTCCAGTCCTACTGTTCCAAGGATGTGCAATAATCTTTGAACAGGTTGATTTAAAAGCATCTAAAATCTCAGTAGTGGTCTTGGTAGGATGACTGACACTCATTCTGCCAAACGTTGTTAAAACCCCAAGTGCCTGCAACAGTTCTGTTATTTTAAAGTTTACATCAGTACATTTGGACTGACTGCATGTTGAAGTGGAAATATTATAATGAATACTCCCTTTTAAAAAAGATTCACGTCTTCAGAAGGATGAAGAAGAGCTTTATTATCACTTTTTTTTAAAAAAAACAATCTGTTGTTGCAATTCTTTACATTGCTGGCAGAGTATGACAAAACAGATACAGCCATTAACCCAATGTTTCAGCATAACATTAAATATAGCTACTGCACAATTGTTTAGCAAATGGAATACTGATAGATAGGGTTCTGCTGCAGTGTGGTATTGAAATGCATTGGTTATTCTGTGTTTGATTATAAAACCTAAACATGTTTGACTGGTCAAGTCTGGGTGTTGACTCTGAGATAAGTTAACAGATGACACAGGCATTCCATTAAGAGTTGAAACTCTTAGACGTAGCTGTAGATGTCTTACAGTATTGTATAATACTCTAAATGTTGTTTGAAAGTACAGTATTGCTGAAAAAAGCATTTGTGCCATGGACCTTGTTGAATCTTAGCTGATAAATGGCCTTTGCAACCGCACATCTGGCTGGAGTTGTACATGATGTTGATGGGGATCATGCTCTGCGATGTGGTCAAGAGTGCTCCTATTAGGGACTAAGTCTTAGTTGTGGAGATCTTCAAAGAACTCCTTCCAATGAAGCCTCGTTACCTCTCCGTCCTCGATATGTTCTTCTCTGTTCTGAGCTCTTGCAGAGGGTCAGTGTGGACTGGAGGGGCAGAATGGCCTGCTTTCACACTTGGGATTCTAACTTGGAATCAGTACATCAGGCATCAACTCTCGAAGCAATAAAGGCCAAAAGTGTAATTCTACTACAGTAAGTGCTTAGTCTGTAGAGGCTATTGGCAGCTCTGAAGAATTGACGCACAGCAGAGCTGTCAAAGATTGCCGAATTATTGTGCTCTTTTTGCCCACCAACTGTTCTGAAGGGAATTTTTTTTTTTTTTTGGGATTGGTCCATGGCCTTCTGTTGTCTGTAAAAACACATCCTTCCTTCTGGTGTTGGCGCTGTTTCCAATTCAGCAAACTGGCATTTAGTAAGCACTCTCATCAAACTGGTCTATATCTTTGCTGGTGGAGTCTCTTCGAGAGTGTTGTTTTTGAAGGGTTTAAGGACAGACCAGGCACCGTGTATGCCCCCTCTTCATTGACTGTGAGGCACTGACTGAATCAATTTTTCTTCAGGAGACTGACTCCATTGACATTAAGCTTTCCCGTGGCAGAGTTTCTGCTGCTGCCGATTTTGGGCTGGGAGGTGGGAGGTGGGAGGTGGGAGGTGGGAGGCCATATTAGACAATGGTCAGTCCAGCAGCTGTCAGGTCCTGTTGGAAAATGGGAGATATGGACATTCTCACCGTCACTGGCTCAGAGGATGACATAGTTACGCGTGTGCCAATGGCTGGAGTGGGCTGGTGCCATGAGGTGTTATATTGGACCTTTGGATGAGGGAAGGTTTTTTTTAATGACCAGGCCAAGATTAAGGCCTTTCATCAGGCACAGGACTCCATTGAGGTTTGCCTTCTTTGTTGATCATCTTACGTTTGGTGTCCCTTCAACCTCTGGCATCGAAATTGCCAATCAGTATCTCCCTTGCGTGCATGGCTCAACAACTGATCGAAGCTGGAATGGAATTAAACTTTTGGCCTTTATTGCTTCAAGAGTCGGAGCGTCCACACTGATGCCTGATGTACTGATTCCGGATTAGAATCCCTACAGTGTGGAAGCAGGCCATTCAGTCCCTCCAGTCCCCACTGACCCTCTGAAGAGCATTCCACCTAGATCCACACCCCCATAGCCTTCCATTTTCTGGGGAGGTAATGGCCTAGTGGCATTATCACTGGACTGTTAATCCAGAGACCCAGATAATGTTCTGGGGACCTGGGTTCAAATCTTGCCATGGCAGATGGTGGAATTTGAATTCAATAATAATCTGGAATTAAGAATCTAATGATGACCATGAATCTATTGTCCATTGTTGGAAAAACCCATCTAGTTCACTAATGTCCTTTAGGGAAGGAAACTGCCATCCTTACTTGGTCTGGCCTACATGTGACTCTAGACCCACAGCAATGTGGTTGCCCTTGAACTGCCCTCTGGGCAATTAGGGATGGGCAATAAACGCTGCCTGGCCAGCGATGCCTTCATCCTATTAATGAATAATAGGAAAAATTCCAACAGCCAAACCATCTAACCCGCACATCTTTAGACTGTGGAAACCAGTGGAAATGTGCAAACTCCACACAGACAGCCGTCCAAGGGTGGAATCAAACCCAGGTCCCTGGTACTATGAGGCAGCAGTGCTAACCACTGAGCCACTGTGCCGTGGGTTGGGTTGGGGAGGGGTGGAAGCTGAAGCCGACGGATTGTTTATGCCTTACTGAGCTGGCCAATAGCATTGTGTTTTTTTTTCTTAAATGATGAAGCTGACTCCACAGAGTTCATATCCTGTGATTAGCGAAGGCATGAGGGCCTCTCCTTTTCCTGTATCAAGTCTAGAATTCCCAAAGGATGCTGGTTCTAAACTTTATACAGCTCAGCAGCAGAACTGGCACCAGTTATAGCACAGCAATTGCACAGTCAACAGTTACGTTTAACAGGTTAAACAAATTACATTTGCTTTGATTTTTGTTTTAAACAGCAGGTGCCTTTGAGGCAATGCAAGGTGGCTATGGTACTGCTCGCTGTGCTCATCACAATTCCTGTGAATACCACCCGAGAGCAGGGGGAGGCACCGTGTGTCGGAATGTCCACAAATGCAGGCTATCTACGGCAAATAATTGGGAATATGCAGCCTGGCCCCAGTCCCTGTTTGGAAAGGTCAGCCAGTGACACAGTTCCCTGGTACCCCCCTTCCATTCCTTATGCCGGAGCCAGCCGTGAGAGTTTTATTGGAATACCCAAGGCTACTGTAGGACTGGCAGTTCTGAAGAAAGTGGGGGATTTGCCAATATTACACAAGCTGAGGAGAATTACAATGAAAACTCCAAGGTTGAGCATCTTTGGGATTCCCTAAGCATTCCTATCTTCTCCAAAGGAGGGACTAGTCATGGAGTCTGTCCAGCAAATGGATAATGGGCTAGAAGTAACAGCACCATCTCTGAGGCTCATTGTGATAGCAATGAGTGTGGTTCCTCGCCACACTGATTAAAATATATGATACAATGGAAGTGCGTCTTTTAAACACTGCAGAGATCTCAAACTTCAAGTTAGTTCTGTTTTAACAGACAGAGTGCCTTGTGATCAAAAACCAAACCTTTAGCAAGTTAAGAGGGTTAGCCACAATCTCATTCAATGTCTCTACATTCCTATGCCATGCCGTTTACACTAAAGAGAAGATTTAGAGAGAATAGCAGCTAGGAGACATTCACTGAAGCTTCCAAATCTTTTGAGACCCCAAAGGCTTCTGCTCAAAACTAAACCTAAAAACTAGAAAGCCTGGTCTGTGAGAGCTGGCCAAATCCAGGCTGCTTTCTTTGTTCCAACTTCTAAAAAATTGTTTACTTTCTTAGAGACAGCTCTACACTTCTGCATTACAACCTCTCTCCAAAAAAAGACAAAATAACCTCAAAGTGACAGCCTCATTACAAAAGTCTCATATTTCCACAGTACTTTGTCTTTGTTCACTAATTACATAAAGCTTGGCAGCTTACCAATGAAAATAAAGAAAATGGCAAACGTGGCGATATCCCAGTTGGACTGGAAAAGCTGCTTGCTCTGTAATCTTCTGACAACATCATTGAATTGGGCTTCGATCTGAGTGCCCAACTCCTGGTCAGCCATCTTCAACACTGGCTGTGTCTGAAACTGCTCAAAGGCACTGCCTTGTTCTCCACCTCAGGCAAAAGCTGTGAACTGCAAAACACAGAACAGAACCCATCACTTCCAAATTTATCGCGCAGAAAGAATCTGCAAAAGAATGTAACAACGTTACTTCTAGCACTTTGCCTTCTAAATAAAATGCATTTCAGAGAAGCCTATCCTTGGATGATTGAACATTCTAGCCCAGAAACGGTGGGCTACATGGCCTCATCCTCATCCTCTGCTGTAGCAATTCTGTGATATTAACCGCTGTCAGATTCAACTCGCACTCTGGCTTCAGGCTGCATTTACACTCTAACCGCATGGCTGCTGGAACCTTTGTTAAAGGCCCCTTGAAGTGAATGTACAAACAACTTCTTGGGGCTCCTATGATGCAGTGATCGTGTCTGTCCCCCTGGGTCAGAAGGCCTGGGTTCATGTCCCACCTACTCCCTGGACAGGCTGTTTAAAACATTACTTTATAAAACGGAGCCTCTTTGATGTATTGTAATGTAAATGTAAGCTGCAATTTGAATAATTAAGGCACACACCAGTGTTGTATCTAAATGGCGTATTGCACCTTCACACATTTTATGAATGAACTATGTTTCTGAAACAAATAAGCGAGCAAACTCTAATATGATTAAAGTGTGAATGTGTTGTGAGCCCGTTTCAAATGTCTACCTGCCATATTTTTGTTAGTTACAGTCATTGAGGGATACGAAGCAAAGATAGTTCAAGAATTGAGCTACACGTCAGCTGTAATGTTATAGGTGATTTCACATCAATCTGTACAGAGATTTTAATCACACACCTCTGGAGCAGATGAGGCTTGAACCCAAGAATTGAACACAGTATTCCAAAAGTGGCCTAACCAATCTCCTGTACAACCCGCAAGACGACCTCTCAGCTCCTATACTCAATGCACTATCTAATGAAGGCAAGCATGCAAAACCCTTTTTCACTATCCTGTCTACCTGCAACTACCCCTACACCTCAAAATACACCTGCTAAAATGTAATGCAAGTTTAACGTTCCTGATAGTCCATTGGTGACATTTGCTTGCTTAGATAAATTAACCTGTACAAGGATTCTACAACACAGGAGAGTTGCCAACTTTCATTCGTGAAGATCCAATATTGCTCACATGGAATCTGCACACTGTTTACAAATGTTATTGCCCCACGAGTATTTCTTTTCCCTCATGAAACCCACACATGCAGCCGATAAAGTCACCAGTAAAGATTAAACTGCAGAATTCCCTGATTACATACCAGAGTAAATACACGCGTCTCTAGGTATTAACATACCTCAAAGTACAACAGGACCTTGATCAGAGGGCACACGGGCTGGAGTGGCAGATGGAGTTTAATTTAGATAAAAAAGTGTGAGGTGCTGCATTTTGATTGGGCAAATCAGGGCAGGACTTATACACTTATTGGTAGGGTCCTGGGGAAGAGAGCTCAGAGTGCAGGTTCATAGTTCCTTGAAAGTGGAGTTGCAGGTAGACAGGATAGTGAAAAAGGGTTTTGCATAAAGAGATAACAAGGTGTACAGCTGGATGAACACAGCAGGCCAAGCAGCATCAGAGGAGCAGGAAGGCTGACGTTTCGGGCCTAGACCCTTCTTCAGAAAATGAATGCTTGCCTTCATCAAACAGTGCATTGAGTATAGGAGTTGGGCTGTGCAGGAGATTGGTTAGGCCACTTTTGGAATACTGTGTGCAGCCTGGTCTCTCTGCTACAGGAAAGTTTTGTGAAACTTGAAAAGGTTCACAAAAGATTTACAAAGATAGTACCAGGGTTGGAGGGTTTGAGCTAAAGGGACAGGCTGAATAGGCTGGAGCCATTTTCTCTGGAGCATCAGAGGCTGAGAGGTGACCTTATAGATGTTTATAAAATCATGAAAAGCATGGATAGGGTGAATACTCAAGGTCTTTTCCCCAGGGTGGGGGAGTTCAAAACTAGAGGGCATAGGTTTGAGGTGAGAGGGGAAGATTTAAAAAGGGACCTAAGGGGCAACTTTTCCATGCAGAGAGTGGTGTGCATATGGAGCGAGCTGCCAGAGGAAGTGGTGGAGGCTGGTTCAATAACAGCATTTAAAAGGTAGCTGGATGGGTACATGAATAGGAAAGGTTTAGAGGGATATGGGCCAAATGGGACAAGGTTAATGGACAATATTTGGTTGGCATGGACAAGTTGGATGAAAACAGTCTATTTCTGTGCTGCACAACTCCATGAACTCTATAATGAAACTGTCTTTCAAAAATCAGAGGTGCAGTAGTGTCAGTTAAACAGTTTGTGTAATTTCAAACACTTTGGGTAACTTACTACTGCAGCTCAGAGCTGGATGAACATGACTGGCCATGTGTTACAGAATTGTGGAATGGTAATGATAGAGAAAACCACTCAGCACATTCTGTTCAAGAAAGCCTCTGCAAGAACAACACAGTCAGTCCCACTTTCCTGCCCGTATCCCTGTAAATTTTCCTTCTTAAAAACAGATAGAGGCAGAATCAATCAGCCTGCCGGACAATGTAGTCCGGACCCTAAGCTGTCCACACAGGCCTCCCTCATGTCGCCTGCTAAGTCTCTAATCCATCTCCTCTGGTTTTCCAACCTTCCTTGCAGGAAAGTCAAACCAGAGGACAGCTTTAAAATTAAGAGGGGCTGATTAGGGTAACAGTAGAGAAGATATGGGTGGCATGGTGGCTCAGTGGTTAGCACTGCTGCCTCACAGCGCCAGGGACCTGGGTTCAATTCCACCCTCAGGTGACTATCTATGTGGAGTTTGCACATTCTCCCTGCGCCTGCGTGGGTTTCCTCCAGGTGCTCCAGCTTCCTCCCACAGTCCAAAGATGTACCACTGAAAGCATCAGTTTGTCTGGGATAACAAGGTGTAGAGCTGGATGGACACAGCAGGCCGAAGAGCGGGAATCTGGGTTTTGTTTTTGTAAATAAATTTGCCTCAATCAGACAAAGCATTCCTGGCACTGTTTGAGCATTCACAGTCATAGAGATATACAGCACAGAAACATACCCTTCAGTCCCAATTCGTCCATGCCGACCAGATATCCTAAATTAATCTAATCCCATTTACCAGTATTTGGCCCACGGCCCTCTAAACCCTTCCTGTTCATGTACCCACCCAGATGCCTTTTAATGTTGTAATTGTACCAGCCTCCTCCACTTCCTCTGGCAGCTCATTCCATACACACACCACCCTCTGCGTGAAAAAGTTGCCCCTCACGTACTTTTTATATCTTTCCCCTCTCACCTTAAACCTATGCCCTCTAGTTTTGGACTCTCCCACACTAGGAAAAAAGCCTTGTCTATTTACCCTATCCACGACCCTCATGATTTTATAAACCTCTAGAAGGTCACCCTTCAGGCTCTGACGCTCCAGGAAACAAAGCCTCGGCCTAGTCAGCCTCTCCCTATAGCTCAAACCTTCCAACCCTGGCAACATCCTTGTAAATCTTTTTTGCTCCCTCTCAAGTTTAACAACATCCTTCCTATAGAAGGGTGACAATAATTGGACACAGTATTCTAAAAGTGGCCTCACCAATGTTCTGTACAGCAACAACATGACGTCCCAACTCCAATGTTCTCACCAATGAAGGCAAGCTTGCCAAATTTCTTCTTCACCACTGCCTCAGGCTAGTTATTTTTAATTCATTTGTGGGATTTGGCTATTGCTGGCCAGGCCAGCGTTTATTGACCAGAGGAATGCTAAGATACAACCACATTACTATGGGTCTGGAGTCACATGGTGGTCAAACCAGGTAAAAAACAGAGTATTTCCTGCCCTCATACTTCAGTGAGACCGATGGATATTTTCCTTTCAAAAAAAAAAAAAAATACATAGAAAGGAGTTCAATTTCCACATCTGCTTTGGCAGGATTTGAACCTGGGTCCCCAGCGTAATTGTCTAACAATAATACCAGCAGGCCATTGCTTCCTTCTGAGTTAGAGGATGAACACAGATGACAAACAGAGCAACAAATTAGGTCACATACATCAGCTCAGTTAACATCACAGCAGATGATCAGGTCAGACATAGAATCACATGGCTCCCTCTCCTCACCAGTTTAAAGCTAATAGAATGATTTTTATTAACGCAAGAGAAATTAAATACAAAAGTCAGGAGATTATGCTTCACATTATATCGCGAGACTCCATCAGGAGTACCTTGCATAGTATGGGTCTAATTACTTTGAGAAGGATGTAAATACATTGTAGGCAGCATGAAGCTTCACTAGATGGGGTGGTACAGTGGTTAGCACTACTGCTACACAATGCCAGGGATCTGGGTTCAATTCCACCCTCAGGTGACTGTCTGTGTGGAGTTTGCACGTTCTCCGGGTGTCTGCGTGGGTTTCCTCCCGCAATCCAAAGATGTGCAGGTTAGGTGGATTGGCCACGCTAAATTGCCTGTAGTGTTCAGGGATGTGTAGATTAGGGGGATGGGTCTGGGGATGTTCTGAGGATCGGTGTGGACTTGTTGGGCTGAAGGGCCTGTTTCCACACTGTAGGGATTCTGTGAAGTAGACTAATACCTGGAAAGGGTGGGTTGATTTATTTTTAATTTTCTGTCGTAGTTTATTATATCTGTGTAATTATATATTTCCATTCTTGACATATGTCAGAGCCGTGGTATTGTTTATTGAATTGACTGGTCACAAAAGACAGCAGCATCGTACTCTCCAGGAGGACATTCATGTCTCCGACAAGAGATTTTCCCATTTTCACCGACTTTGTAACATTAGAGGACAGCAAGCTTGAGCTCTTTGCTCTGATAAAGGTTTCTCATGGCCGTGGTGCAAGACTTCCCAGGGGCAAAGGTTGGACAGACTCGGCTTGTATCCGCTACAGTTCAGAAAAGTTGATTGAAACCTCGAAAATCCTGAGGGCTTTTGACAGGATGGACGTGGAAAGGACATTTTCTCTGGAGGGGAAAAAAATCTAGAATCTCGGACTTGAAAAATGGGGATTGCCTTATGAACACAGGCTGGTGCTGGAACCACCAGAGTTTGGGAAAAGTTTGGGAAAAGTTTGGAAAAGGTGACTTAATCGAAACAAACAACATCCTGAGGGGACTTGACCAGGTTGATGTGGAAAGGATGTTTCCTCTTGTGGAAGAATCTGGAGCTAAGGGTTATAGTTTAAAAATAAGGGGATGCCCATTCAAAACAGAAATGAGGAAACATTTGTTTCCTCTCAGAGCATTATGACTCTCTGGAAATTTCCTTCCTCAAAAAGGCAGTGCATGCTGAATCTTTCAATATTTTTAAGGTAGAGCTAGATGGATTCTTGATGACCACGCGAATGAAAGATTATTGGAGATGTACAGGAATGTAGAGTTGAGGTTAAAAATCAGATCAGGCATGATCTTATCAAATGGAAGAGCAAGCACGAAGGGCTGAGTGGCCTGCCCTTGATCCCAGTTCGTGTGTATCAAGAGGTAGGGCTACAATTAGTTTGTAGACTGTGTTGTGTGTTCAGGGACAGCAGAATTGCTAGTGACATAGTATGATACCAGCTCACTTCCAACCCTCTTAAACCTCCGTAAAAAAATAAAACGGAGCTGTTTAAAGTAATTTGATCTGCACAACATCAGTCCAGGTAAACATCCACCTGCCTGTGTTGCTATGGGAGACCAGATTAAGCTCAGTTTCACCCTTGAGTCAGTTTTTATTCCCATACATTTCACAGCGTCAGGATTGCTGGATTGTGAAAGGTTTCAGCTCAAAGTTCAAGGCTTTCCGTGTTTGTAATTCAGACTATTAAAGTCAAAAGTTCAAATTAGACATGGATTGCTAAAACTGAGAAAGCCCCCTAGAATGTCAAATTATTACCTTTTCCAGGGGCATCAAACAAACCTAATGCCCTTTCAGAAATACAAATCTTACACCCTCAACATCCCCTTTGAACAGATTTCCAAATTGACCCCTGCGAAAAAGTACACTTGAGTTTTTTTTCCCCCCAAGAACAGTAATCTGCTGCCAGAGAAATAATTGAAGCCTATACCTTAAGTGATGTCAGAAATCACACGACACCAGGTTATAGTCCAACAGGTTTACTTGAAAACACAAGCTTTTGGAGCCTCGCTCCTTCCTCCGGTGTTAGAGAGAGAGGTAGTATCAGGCACAGAATTTATAAGTAAAAGGTCAAAGGGTCACACAACTGATGAGGATGTATTAAACAAGCCTAAGATTGCTGTTAAATCTTTAATCAGTTAAAAGGTTTTAATTGAATAGTACACATATGTAAATCCCCGAATTTCTTTCAAGTTACTGCCCTGAGAGGACTAAAGGTTTTATTAGTGTAAAGAAGAGGTGACATTTTATGTCAGACAATGCATGTTAGGTGTGAGACAACAAGGTGCAGGGCTGGATGAACACAGCAGGCCAAGCAGCATCATAGGAGCAGAGAGGCTGACGTTTCGGGCCTAGAACCTTCATCAGAAAAGGGGGAGGGGAAGGGGGTTTTGAAATAAATAGGGAGAGAGTGGGAGGCGGATAGAAGAGGGATAGAGGAGAGGATAGGTGGAGAGGAAACAAACAGGTCGAAGAGGC